TAACCATTGTGATTTATTTGAGTTTCAATCTATTTTCCTCATTCTGGGTTTGACACACTTATTAAGATATGTTGCAAGCAATTGTTATGGAAAGTTTCTATATTAGTGAACAGGAAAGTAATTTAATTAGTGTAATTTAATCATAGTACAAATATAGCTGGTTTGCAAAAAGAGACACGTTTGTTTAAGAAAGGTAGCAAACAAACAGCTTTATAAATAATGAGAAAGATACAGATCAGGGATAAAGTTATAATGAAGTTGGAGTGATTTAAAGATTCCCATAAGCTATGGGTATGGAGAAGAAAGCAAGCCTGGATTTTTGCAAACTGAATTGTGTCGCAGAAAACTAGCATGGTGGTGATACCATCATTCCATGGGGATATTTATCTACTGTAGGGACAGGGGAGCTTGTCAAGGCTGATGGTACAATGGAAGGAGGTAGTACAGGGTGAACCAGGAAGAGAGACAGTCAGAGCCTGCAAAAGCATGAAGCAGAGGCAAGGGGTTGACTTTTAACAAAACAATGTCCTTAAAAATACAAACAGAGCTGCAGTGTGCTTTTAGAAAAGAAATAATCTTAATATGTTTAAAAGTGAATATGTTAAAGTCAAGATCTAAATCCAGTGGAGAATTTCTGGATAAAGTTAAAAATTGATAACAAAACCCTTGCAGCTCTTGTTACAGGTGAAAATTAACATATCCTTTGAAGTGGGTTGAATCTTTTGCCTTTTTTTCCGTATTTTTTTTAACACACTTCTGAAAATATAGAGTATATTCTTTAAATTCATTTTATGTATTTTATACTCCTTTCAGCACCAATTTAAAATAATATCCCAGTAGGATGGATTGAACTTCATTGTTTTTGCCTCATGTTTGAAATAAGAAAGCTTTGGCAGGGTACCGTGTAATGTAATAAAACATATTTGTGTCGACCACAAAGTAAATCAGTAGCTCAAGTAGTGCATTGCATATATTTCTGCTGATTAGTTAGTTTAATTGTTATGTATTTGTGTAATCAATACTGACTTTTACTCATCACTGCTTTTGTACATCTAAGCTCTTCTTTTCAGTCTTAATGTCTACTCTCTGGAGACTACACTGCAGTATCTCCACGCAATACTGTTTAAGGTGGAACACTTCAAAGTTTTTTTCTCCAAACATGGGCAAAAGAGGCTTGAGCATTTACAGGAAGTTGATCCCATCATTTAAACCAGTCATCCTATTTTTGGCCCTTTTTTTCCACTGGTCTTCTTTTCCACCTGAGTTCACCACAGCAATCCAGCTCTTCAACTCTCATCATGCCCATCATGCCTCCAAACTTCTAAGGATGTCCAGTGTGTTTGGTATGCATACCCAGTCTCCGGGGGAATATGGCGAAAACGTTTATCCTAATTCAGCAGGCATTTTATGGCCCCTGGGCCAGATCCGGTCTCAGCTTGTACTGTTGTGGTCAACGGAAAATATAAAATGAACAATACATGAAGCGTTGATTCCACATAAAAAATCAATATATGTCACTATAACATCAGCTGAATGTTGTTCATTCTGTTTGATGATATTTTACCTACATCAAGATAATTTCATGCTGGAAAAAAGATGCTGATGAAGATTTTTAATCAACATGTCAAAATGTGTTCATGTTATTACAGACTGCGAATGTTAGGAACCTAACAACAGTTAGGTCTATAGAGTCAGTAAATTCCCATAAATTGCACAAACTATTAGTAAACTACAAGAGACGGTACCAGTTATACTGTAAACTGGTTTCCTGATATTGTGCACACCAAACCAGTGGTGGATGAAGTACTGAACAGTAGTACTTAATAGTAAATAATACCAAATAGTACAATCCCACACAAACAAAGACATGTGTGATACAGCATATGATATATTATTTTACTGCACTTGCACTGGCTCTATACATTTTCAAAAAAATCTCATGCTAATACTTTGTAATGAAATTCTCGGATATTAACAGTCATGTAATCAGAATTATTGGCTCTCCTGCTCTTAATATCTTGTAAAACCTTTGCTGAGTCTCTCATACATAGAGCAATATTTCTCTTTCCATAATTTCTCTGGGGCCTTAATGTTTTGTTGGCTTTAGGTCTTGGCTGGTGTGGTCATGGAAAAAGTTTGAGTTTATGACTGATAAACAAGTTCTATGTAGATTGTGCCATTTGTTTTGAGCCACTTGCTAGCAATAATCCATTTTCTGGTATATGGGTAGATTTGACTGAATTTTTTATATGTTCCAGTGTTTCAAAGATTTCGTAAATCTGGGACTTCTGAAGAGAAACAGGCCCACAGCATCAGGCGTGCTCCAATACATTACAGCATGTTTGAGGTGCTGTTCTGTATGTTGATCTTGTAATTTTCCCCAAAGAAATTGATCAAATAGATGAATGAAAGGCAATATTTGTGTTGTGTTTATGGGTTATGTGTGGTCTCTTTATGATAGGTAATTTAAGAACAGATCTTTGTACTTGATCTCTTTTTAGCCAAATACTGTATGTTTAAACAGAATTACATCTTTTATCAATGGTCTCCTGTGTGATGACATTTCTTTTCTGAATAATTCTAGAGTTTACATATCAGACAGTGCATATTTACAACCTCTGGATTGTTGATGGTTTAAGTTGCATTATTAATTGGACAGACTGCTTAAAGAACAACTTCCCTCCCTTAAAATAAGGACACTGCAGGATGTCTTAACAAAGCGTAAACTTTAATTTAGTTTTCTTATTTTGTCTAGTTACAACTTCGCTGAAAATGGCTCCTTAGTGTTTTGGACTCTTCTGAGCTTACCCTTACTTTAACTTACTCTTTCTTAGATACATAAGATATTTTTGACTAATAGCAGCCATTAGGATGAGTTTAAATTTACTCTATCACATGATGTGCTATGATATGTGAACAACTTTTTGATGTGAGATGAAGTGTGAAAGAAACTTGCAGTGAAAAAAATCACATGTCATTCCACTTTTAGAGCAGAGCTATTTGAGGAATAAAAATAGAAAACCATCCACCAGATTGAATACTTTTACAACTTTACACCTCCAACCATAAAAAAAATAGTCTGATGATTCTTAAATGGAGTCAGCCTCCAATCATTGCCTCTGGTAAATAAACACTTAAGGGCTTAAAACAAACAAGCTGAAAGGACCAAGTTGCACTCTGATGAAAAAGTATTTACCTAAAGATTGATTTGAGCTTTGTCTGAGTTTGTTTCTTATTACTTTTTCAAACAAATACATACACCTACTCATGCAGACAAGCAAACGCATGGTGCCTGACGGCAGTTGTTGGGTAATGAGCGGTTTTTAGAGGTGGAGTGTGTGTTGCTAAATATTGTAGCACTACCTGCTAATTAACACCCACTGACTGTCTGTGTGCCTTTATGACGATAACATGATTGCACTGTTTCCATAGAAATGTTGTCAACACACACAATAAACCTAAAAGGATTGAACCATTGGTTGTTTAAGGAGCATACAAATAAATATGTTTGTTGATTATTTTTTACCCTAAAATCCATGTGTCGCAATGGCAGTTTTTAATCCATGGTATTACTTCCCAACTTGTTTAATTATACTTTTTTATTTCATTTTCTTTACAGTGTGTTTTTTTTGTTTTAATTGTACACTGCCTTGCAAAAGTATTCGCAACAGTCCCAACCTCCATGCATGATTTTTTTCCCCAGCATGATTGTATGGATCCAAGGCTAGCACAAGATTCCCTATAGAAGGTGTTTTCATTCTGTCATCCCCTGAAATGTCAGCTTTTCTTAGTATTTATCAGAGGTACAGCGATCTGCATGTGTGTGTCTGCGTATGCACATGTCTCCCTAAGCATGAGACCGCCAGGGGAGAGGACTGGTGAGAGTGTTTGCTCAGCTTCTTAAAACAAACTATCAAGGCAGATGAAGGATATCAGGAGGTGCGATTTACAAGGCCAAGGCTGAATGAAAAACGTTGAGGTGGAGCACCTTTTCTTCAATTCTCACGTTCTCTTGCCATGCATGTTCCACAAAAGTTGTAGATCAGATGAAAGCGTCAACATAGGGCACAATAGAATAAAGTGGGATGCTGTGAGAAACGTATCCTTACAAACTCAGAGCTTGCACTGCTGTTCACTGTAGTGTTGATGGCTGATATATTGAAAATAGAGAATGGAAACAAAGCTTTAAATATAATTCTTAAAAAATAAAGAACCTGTGGCCAAAAATGATACCCCAGATCCTGGCAGCATTTTCAGATTGTTAATCCAAGCCTCTTTTCCCCATTAAGAGTTAGAATAAACTATTTATCTATATTATATACAATCATCTGTCATAGCTTTCTAGGAGGTCTGGAGTAGTATTTATACAATGATGAATCTATATATGTGTTAACATTTCAAATATTTACACCAACCTTATTTATTTTTCCCTCACAAGTTTTTTTTTTCCCATATCTGTAATAAAGTATGTATACTTTTGAATGAGAAGGTTTAAGCTATGGAAGTTTAAAAGGGGCTCTGGGGTGACTTAGGGGCCACATGTGGTTTAAGTAGTGGGACTGCCGGATCAACTACAGAAAACTTTCTATCGTCTGAAAATCTAGAACACCTGCATTCTGGTTTACCAAAATCAACCTCAGCAGCATTAAGAGAGATTGTGAATGGACTTTCTGTTGAGAGTTGTCCAATGATGTGACATGCAACTTTGTAAGGACCGAATAGTTCTTCCAGATGCAATCAAACAGAAAAATATGGTCTGATTTCAAAGCTTTGGGATCCTGCATGCTGTTGTCTACCACTTCCTCATTCAAGAGATGCAGTGCAGCCAAAACTGAGATGTGGTGGACAGAGCTGGCAGGCTTAGGAGCCAAAAAGAAAATCTATTTATTGTTGGTTTGAGGTTGCTACTGTTTTTTTTTTCTTTTTATTTGTAAATCAAAAAATAAAATATGACAATTTGTATATTACTGTACTTTCTAACATGGTTCAAACTTCTACAGGGCAGTGGGAAGTCCCTTGGTCATGGATCCCAACAGCATTTGCAGGAAGGCAAAGCGCCTAGCTGGAAAGCAGGCTGAGTTGTGCCAAACTCAACCAGAAATCGTCAGCGAGGTGGCCAAAGGAGCAAGGCTGGGTGTCAGAGAGTGTCAGTACCAGTTCAGGTACCGGCGGTGGAACTGCACAAGTCACAACAAATACTTTGGCAAAGTACTTCAGCAAGGTGAGTGTGGAAGAAATGTCTAATTTGGTTATATTAGGAACTTGATTTTGAGTTTATTTTTCTAAAAACTGTATTATATCCATCTAAGTCTTGTATGAACAGGGTTAAGCTCCTAATGAGCTTCATTTTGGATGTAAAGGAAGATACTACTGTTGTTTAAGAACATTAGTAAAATGTTGGCACCAATTATTGCTACATCACTTTAAGTTAAAAACAATGCAGATGCGGATATACCATAAACACAGGTGTACATAAGGTCAACAAGGGTCTTGCATGCTAAGCATTCCCCCGGGGGGTGAAAGGGCATGCAGAATTGTTTTGCACTTGTGCAGTTACTCTAAAAGTGACTTTGAGGTTTCTCACCTACAATACCCAAATAGTGATCCCCTATACCTTTAATAAAATGTAAGCCTTTGCATTACAGTTACTTCTATGTCATGCACAATATGAAAAAGACATAAAAATGTTCAGTACTAATCTTTATTGCTTTTTCCCAGGAAGCTGAAAAATGATTTAGGGTAGAATAAATGAGGAAACCATACCACATAAAATAATCAAAGTAGCAAGCAGCTGTTTCAGCTAACAATATTCTCAGTAAACCTTGTAAAGTCTTGTATCTAAACAATTACCACGCAACAGCTGACTTGTATGTTCAATTGTAATACATTGATCCTGCCACTTTAACAATAGCACTTATTACTCCCCTAGGCTGAAAACAAAATATTTGTTTTGAAATTCCAAAATGTATTTATGATGTGTATTTTTTCTTTCTAAGTGCATTACAAATGATTATAAAAAGAATTCTAGACCTTAAGTAGAGTTTTAACCTTGTAAAGTTGTGTTTTTGTACATTTGGTACAATAGCGAAAGCTGCAATAAAATAGTTTGTTTTTGTACAAAACCATATTTAGCTCTATCTTTTAAGTAACTGTTTAGCAGCTATGAGAACAGTTTTATTCCCTGCCAACTTCAAAAAGTTCCACAAACATAACATGTGCTTTCAAAGTTAAGGTATATCCAGCCATAACAACTTGTTAAGCTTTTTGTGGCCACACCTCTACTCAGATAAAACTTTAACTTTGGCTGTATATTGTACATTTACATTTAATTGAAAAGTGGTTTATTCCTGCAATCAGTTTATAAATAGTTATCTAGTGATTTAAAATCGAGACAAACATAGCTGAAACATCAAATGTTAAAGCAATCACTAAAAGGCCTGCAGGTGTGTTCTTTCGCCTTATAAATGAATGACAGTGGAAAATTATTTATCTACTTGAGTTTAAGCTATGAAATCCCAAACCAGAGAAAAAATGAGCTTGTGAAAAGATAAACAGTCTTCTGGGAGAAGACTATTGGTAAAAATTAAATGGTGCATGACATTCTACTTTCTATCACTGACAAGTTTCTAACCCAAAGAAAATACCAGCTAACTTTAAGTGATATAAAAGCATTTAAATCACCCAACTAATTCTGAATAAAACTATACATTCCCTTCTGTTCTCTGTCAGCACCAGAGAAGTAATCGATTAATTGATTTTGTTTTGCAAAACAATTTGTTTACAAGCAAAATGCCAGCAAAAAGTTGTCCACATAAATTCCACTATTCTTTAGGTGTTCTGTGAATGAGGTGCATACATTTTACAATTCTGGAATTATACGTAAAACTGCTTTGCTTCTCTCTTACTCCTTATACCATCCTGGGACTTGATCTATGACAACCTAACATGTGTGTTTTGACATAAAAACTTGAATACAGCAAAATGTAAATACAATTTAGGGGTGTCCATGTTTTTCCCCTGAAGGGAACCGATGTGAGCTATATGGATGTATATTTGCAACAGCACTAAATTCTTCTTAGTCTTAATTGGTCTGGAGAGGGTAATTGATGCAATATGAGCTACTTATTATTTTAACCAAGCCATAATGGTTTGTGGAGAGGATTTTAATTGTGGGAGAAGAAAAAGCATTAAAACATTTTACATAAAAAAGAGAAAACTACTAGGCTGTGATGGAAGTGCTGATAAGAGGCCAATGTGCAAAATCTATCTTCTGTTTTAACACAAGTATTTAGGTGTGCAGAATAGATAAAGTTTCACTCCTGTTGCGTTTCACAAGTCTCTATATTGGTAATGTGCTGTCCTCTCAATTTGCCTCAGAAGACCTCCGCCAGACACTGCAGAGACCATCCCACCACATTTTGGAAATGTTATGGTTCTATTAGGACCTAAGCTAAAGTGTTGGAATTATAAGCTCAACAGCTGATCACTTGTTAAGAAATACCACTTAGGAAATATTACATTGAACAGTTTCATTTAGGTCACAAATCTATTAAAAAGTAAAGATCTTTAACATTATTAAATACAGAAAATACACATCATAAATACATTTCAGCATTTCAAAACCAAGATTATTTGTAATCATAAATCATGTTAAACAATCTGATTCCATTTTCCTGCATAGTTATTGACTATTACCTTCAGATTTTAGCTGGCATCCCTACATCCACTTGTGTTCACGTCCCTGTCTTTGACAGACAATGGCAGCTGTTGTATTTCAGAGCAGACATATTCACACTTGACTGAATCTCATCTTCATCAGATTGGGCACGCTTGAAATGATTACCCAAGATTACTTTTTCCTATCATCTCCTTTAGGATCTCTTAACATCTTGCTCCAGCTCTTTGAAGTCTCTAATATAACTGACGCTAGGTCACTGCTGGGTCCTTAGCAATTACCGTGTTGGTTTTTTCTGTTGTGTGATTAGATTCTTCAAGAGCTGCTTGTCTCATGTTTAACTGGTGTGTTGAGTTAACAAACAAGGAATTTAATATAAGTTTAGACAACCAAAAATGTGCCAAAGTATTTCTAAACTCATTTTGTTCTCATCTATTACTAGTTGCTGTTTTCTAATTAATGTTAATGTTGCTATAATAAACTAGGTAAAAAAAAAAAAAAGGTCTACAATGATTTATCTTTTTGGCAAACCTACTGTTCCTTCCGAGAAAACAAAATAAGCTTTCTATCGGGAAGAGTAAATATTTTCAATAGTTTGCTCGTAAATGTCAACAAAAGGAGAAAGAGAAGTTCTTATAAGTGAATGTTTCTGCTGTCTATTTTGAGAATTCTTTGAAGAAAACATTTTTAGAAAAGGTACTCGCAAAGATATATACCTAAAAGAAGGGAACAATGAAGAGAAAGCGAAAGGGGGCAAGAAGCTACCAGTTGAAGACAATTAATCACACATTCCTGCCTGTCTATAAAAGAAGCCAAAGTGCTCCTCTGTTTTGAAGCATTTGGCCTCAATTACCTTGTTTTTGCCCTTAATGGTTGTTTATCATACATTGGTACCAGTAAATGTCAAAATAAATGCAACTCTGTATTTATCCCTCCTAAGTGGTTTACTTTACCTCATTGACATGTAGTTAGACATTCTGCTCTGCTATGCTGGTATGAGATTTCTGCTTGCGTAAGTTGTTATCACTGTAAATGCAAACTTTTGGCAGTCCTATTTTTGTATCAGTGGGATGTTTTGATACGTTAGCTGCCTGCATATTTAAGTCATTTTAAATCTAGTGATTCCTTTGACAGAAGTATTGCACTATGACTTGATTTTTCCTTAGATACAAATTAAGGATTCTCAAAATATGCATTTTTGCTAATAAAAAAAATAATTCTAATTGCTTTCTATAGCTCCAAGAAACAAGAATATTCTGAGAAAAGTTAGAAAATAATTTTAAGTCAAAGGAGTTGAATCTCAGTTCAAGTCATTGCAATGTTTTAACGTTTGGGTGTGGTTGGTAATGTCTTGATTAGGATGTTTTGTTCTTGAAATCAGTTGGTGTCAGTATGTGCTTAGACCTCATCTCTGTCCTTTCATCAAAACACTGCTATGTAAATGCTTGGAAATGAAGTAGCTTTAAAGGGGCATAGTCACATTATATGAAATGTTTTAAAGTTAGAATGGTGTTAAGCAAAAGAGTACCTTCCCGCACAGTTGTAAAATAATGACGAAATCCAAGAAGCAGTGTGGAAAGAAATGAAAAAAACAAAAAAGTTATACCACAAAGGGTAAGAGCTCTGGTGCTCACAGAAGCGGGAGCTAAAGCTGCTAAGTCATTTAGAAGTAGCTGAGAAACTGATGGATGTTCCAGTAAACAACCTCATTTATATTGATTCTTGTTATAACAATGGTGTTTTCTCGGGAATCTTAAGTACTAACAGCATTATAAGTAGTTGGATAAGAGATTGAAATGAACATGGAGGGGATCAGTTACAGTTGTAGAAGACAACTCTACATCAGATTCAATTTAGGGCTCTTAGCCAATACACTAACTGCGGTTTATTCCTATGAAAAGGCTTCTTTTTTTTTTTGCCGGAATATTTCTTACCTCGAGATGCTGTGTCCCTTTTTGCATTCAGTTGAATTGGTAATTCTAACAGGAGGCTCTGGGGAGGATTCACCGTTGATTGGCTTATTCAGTTTGTTGGTCTTAGATCAGACCTAGTTGTGGCTTTACCATGAAGTGTTACAGGATGGTCAGGCTCTTTTCGACTCTATTAACTAGCTGCCTCAGTTGTAATCTGGCTTTCAGATAGTTTTGTGGTTCTACCAGCTTTTGGCACATACGTCTCTGAATGTGTGATCATTGTGACCAGTTCTGGAATTCTATTTAGAGTCAAAAGGGATTATCAAAACAATATGAGCATGGATGCTTGGTGTATAAAACCTTATCCACATCACAGAATGCAGGTTATACATATTAAATTATGTTTCTTTAGAACCATGCACCCAAGTACCCTTTTTTGTTTTCTACATTAGGGTTCCATAAAAGTAGAAAAAAAAGTTAAAAAACAAACCACTGGACTTAGTTTTCCAAGTTTAAAGACGTTTTGCTTCCCATCCAGAAAGCTTTCTCAATTCAAAATGTCGGGAGTAGCGTTTGAGTTCCAGGCTTATACAGTGGCCCAAACATGCACATGCAAAAAACATGCAAATTGAA